TATTCGGATTTTTACAACTCCATGTGTGTTGAAAGCCTTTAGCTTCGTTGACTTCAGTTACCTTATCTTTTATCTTATCGTTGTGTTTTTCAAGGCAAAATAAGTAGATGTTCGTTTTGGAGGGATACAACTACCTTTCTTAATATCAACCTACCTTTTTAATTGTTGTATCCTGATAGTCATTTTGAATTCATTTAAGTTTAAATTATAAATACATATATTTTACATTCTTTATAGTACCTTAGTTCTCGAGTTTGCTTAGATTATCGTCGGAAAAGTTTCTTTCTAACTTTCCCTCCTATCGTAGGAGAGGGGGAGTTGTAACGGGCCAAAATTGCATAAACATTTCTTACCTACTTTCAATTTTATATTCAAGATTTCCTTAAGTTTTTCAACATTTTCTCTCAATTTCAATTGTCGTCAGATTTCCTAATTTTCCATAGTCAAATTCTATTTGCTGTGATAGTTTTTTTTCCTCATTTTAATCCATATTTTAATTCAATTCTAAATCCACTGCAATTTTGGCCCGTTACAAGGTCACTTTAGAACTTTTCTCATTAGAGTAGTTTTTCTTAGGAATAAGCCAATTTATGTGAAGTGGTTATCGTAGATAAGGGCTGTATCATTATTATCAAGAGCAATGGTCACAAGAAAGTACTATGAAAACAGAGGATCCAGGAACTCAACATTATGCACCACCCTGCATGGCAAATACAGAAGAAAGTGAGTAAGAGAGACCAACATTTCCCTACACAGAGAGAAAAATATAGTGCGATTTACTATAAAAATAATAATGTGTATTAGAATTTATAGTACTATACCTATAGGACAACAACCTAGTTTAGTATACCTAACAATACTTTTATATTAAAATTATAGTATCTTTTTTATTAACTTTTAATAGTTATTTATGATATAAGTGTTAAAAGTACATTTTTAAGGCACGCATGTGAAAGTTCATTCACATCATTCACATAGGTGCCCTAAAAATACTTTTAACACAAATATCATACAATATTTTTTCTACAAACGGCAATAACAAGCAATAACCAGTAACAAATTGGATTTTTGAATGAATAATAAATTGAAAGCATCTTTCCTATAGTCTGGCAAGTGGTAACTTGGTAGAGACGAAAGGGGGAAGAAAACTGGGGCGTTACCTAAAAATATTCACTGACACCTCAACTGACACCGTCTGATGACAGCCATGTCTTTGAGTTCAGTGGCACCGAAAACACCAAGGAAATAAACCAATAAAATTATTAGAAAAAAGATTCTCTAGATTCGCCAATAACCACGCCACTGCATGCTGTCGTTCAAGCTCTAACCAACAGAATCTTGTTTCTGAATAATCACGCCTCTCCACTTCCATCATTTCGCAATGTTGCCTGATTTTTTCCTATTTCAAAATATTACACATACCCATATAGCAAAAAAAAGATGTCACCGACTTGTTTATTATTTTGTTTCTAATTTCCGTCAAGTTTGGCAAAGCAGCAAATTCTTTTGCAGTTCGCCGTTTCGCTAGCCAGACAATAGATAAAATTATTAAATTTGACATTTGTCAAAAAATCCAAACAACCAGCACCTTGTTTTACAGGTAATGAAATGTCTCGTCAGTTTCTTGAAAGTCTGTCGTGGTCAGTAATGCTTTTTGCTAGAAATGTAACAAAATACAGACGAAAAAGAGGGTTGCATCGATCCCTTGAAAAATATAGATGAGGCGGCCAATCGGGCTACCTCAGTTGTTCAAATTTCACCATTAATATCAATGTAAATAACTAAAAACAATTTTTTTTTGACGTTCGCTCTCAAAATTTAATGTTTCATTTTTAACACTAGTGCTATAAAGACTTTATGGCACTAGTGCGATAAAGTATAATTTTTATTGCTACGGGGAGGTGTTAAAAATTGCATTTTTAACACGTTTGTAGAGAAAATATTTTATAATAAACAAAACCATAATTCTTGTTAAATTTGTTTTCTTTTTATGTTTAATTTCACTATCTGTGATAATATTTTATATTACTAGTTTTTGTATTTCTTACAAATTTTTCTTGTAATATTTAATGGCCAAGTTTATAGAAATAATAATATGGAATAGTAAATTATATTATTTCTTCTTTTATCCCTCGCCGCCCCAAAATAATTTTAAAACTTGGGATCCCAGAACAGGGTCAAAATGGACCCAGATACAAACCTTTTTTTCGAGTGATTTTGAACATAAAATTTTGGGAATCATAATAAAACATGTTATTGTATATAGGATTTTCACGCTATATTTAGGATGACGTCACATTTAGTAAATTTCTGCTGCAAATCTAACAAAACTAAAAGTACTTCTTAACGCATATAAAGTAGGGGAATTTCAGATGTTTCTGGTTGGCAACGGCGCGCGATGTTGCATGATATAAATGAACATTTTCAAATAAATAACCCGTGTCGATTCATTTCGTTATTTTTAGCTGTCAGTGGTCTTGATAATTCATTATGACATTCTGGTAAATTATAAGAAAACAAATAGGCATTGACAACATTGTCAGTCCTTGTTCTCTGACGTCATCCTAAATATAACGTAAAAAACCTATATAATGCTTTATTAAAAAACAACAAAATAAACTTTTTCTATTTTGGTGTTATATCGAAGTCTTCTCGACACTAAAAGTAGTTTCGAAAAGAAGCTCTTTGTGACACTCCTTTTTCACTTATCGGAGGTTGGTAACACTGGCTGACTGATGGCCATCGAACTGTCATTCGCGATTTTATAATAGAAGATTTTCTATATTATATAAACATATGAAATCAGGAAATATGAGAATAAAATTCCCAAGAATTTCTTTTTTTTTAAATTAAACAATACCAAAATAGAAAAAATAGTATAAAATATTCGTTTCATAAGACATTTTATCGCACTCGCCCTTCAGAAAACTCGCCTCCGGCTCGTTTTCTAATGTAGGGCTCGTACGATAAAATGACGTCTTATGAAACTTCTATTTTAATGTACTATTCTATCGATAAGATAAGTACATAGTAAACTGAAGGAAAAAAGCTAGAAATTGCGAAAACACGTAGAAAAAGCTTGCTACGACTTGTCGAGTTGGAGGGTTTCAGGGTATACCGATTTATCCCAAAACCGGGTCATTGCGTCGGTCTCATGACATAAGGCCCTATCTCGTTTTTCGCATGTTTTCAGGAGAGCAATTGAAAGAAAACTGATATCTTCTCGCCAACCAAATACGAAGAACTATACCGATTTTCGGACTCTTTTTTTGGAATTATGAATAACAAATTATGTAAATTTTTCATCAAATACCACATTTTAAAATATTAATTAACATTTGGTTATAATGAAGGTTTTTGTGAGATAGGGCCTTTTGTGAAGATACTTAGAATATTATTGGCCTATTTTGGTCGAGATAGGCCCTTCAAAGTAGAAATAAAATAACCGTTTTTAAGCATGTTTTTTTATTTAGGTACAACACAAAACAGAAAAAAATTGCAAAAAACAAAGAAAAACCAACTTAATAGGTAAAGTTCATGTTTGAAAAACATTATAAAAGAAAAATATTATTTTAAAACGAAAACAAAATAAACTCTAAAACACATCGAATTTTGTCATTATTTTAACATAAAAAACTGAAAATGTATCTCTACGAAATTCAAATTTCTGTTATGAAAGATTCACATTATTTACTATAAAAAATACGACTTATTTTTGAGTATGTGGTAATGAGTGGTAATAGTACATTATATACCTAGGTAGAGAAGTTGGTCATTATATACCGAGCGCTTTTATAAACCGAGGCGCGGAGCGCCGAGGTTTATAATGCGTAAGGTATATAATGACCTTCTCTACCGAGGAATATATAGAATTTTTTTTACTACTGCTAGTAGAAAATAAAAAATAGGTTGTAAATCTGTGCTCAAATAATTTTTTCTTATCGGAAGTGCTGCGCTCTATCAACAGCTTATTGTAATTTTCTATAATATACATACAGGAACCTGCTTTGTTTTAAATTGACAGTGTATAAAATTGAAATTAAATCAATAGAAACCTGTTACGTTATGACAATATCCTTGCGTCATGACGTCATTTTCATTATTGACCTAGGTATTTTTTCATTATTTTCATTATTAACCTAGGGAGAGAAATTCAATTTTTGCCCAGGAAAATAGATTGAATAATGACTATTTCTCAGGTTAGTAGTAAAAAAAATAATTTATCTTCAGGCGAGGAAATAACAGGCTTAAGGCCAGAACAAAGGGACATTAGATTTTCATACTTTAGCAGAGATAAAGGTCTCTGTTCTTTATTTAATTTTTTGACCGTTAAAGAATGTCGCATCTGCCTTTTTAAAGACATTGAACGGTATTGCTTGTCTACGTGGCTAGTTTTGAAAAATATTTTATTAGGATTTTCCTTTTTCACAAGAAACTCAAATACATCCGACCATTTAAATTCAGTTCCGGTGTCATCCGTTTTTATAGATTTGATTCTAAGATCTTCGCTTAACGTTTTATAGTCTAAAAAGTCATTATAATTTAGATGGTAAACTTTATAAGGCTTGTTTCGCCTTGCCAAGCGAAATACTGGAACCAACTGGCTGGGAGTGAAAAAATCTCCAGGTTTTTTAATAGCGTACGTAATTGCACTATGGGCAGAGTCTCCTTCACTCTGCCCATGGTTAGGCGAAAAAAATCTGAGACTTATTTCCTTTAAGTGTATACAAAAGTGCAGTTGCCATAATTGAATTTTTATTTTGCCCGCCACAACCATCCGCAAATAACTGGGCGGAAGAAATAAGTTTTTCTTCATCGTATTTTTTTAACATCATTACAACAGCGGTAGAAATTTCATTAGATCCGCGACCACTAGAACATTCATGCCAAGTTAGACAATAACAATCACGGTTGGCTAAGTCATAAATCGTAAAATTAAACACAGAAAACCTACGTTTATAAAAAATGGCATTGTCATTAGATATAGGTAATGATATCACCTGTTGCAAATCGAAACAAGCACAAAAAATTTTTGGATCATTTTTAGCCGCACTTTTAAAATTTTCTTTAAGTTCACGAACTGCCTCTTTCTCTACTATGTGTTTATCAAAAATTTCTTTTATTTTTATTTTCTCTTCTTCACTTGCTTGGTGATAAACTCTGCACGTTCCACACTGATCCTTTTTAGGCCTATGGAATGACAAATTAATTTTTTTGAAAATAAACCTGTATAACGAAAAACTAGGTTTGCTTTCGGTGGACTGCAACTCTTCGATAAACATGTCGTACATCTTTCGTAAACTTAAATCCCCATGCAAATATTCTCTGGAACTATCTTTGCGATAGTAGTGGGACTCAACACGGGGGAATTTATTAATGTGATTGATTATACTGTCTCTTACAGCCCTATCTTTGAGTGCAGATATCTTATCGCGGCCACCACGTTTTTCTTTCTCTAATACGCCAGTGCTCTGAACTTTTTTGACAGCATTGCGCAGTACTTTTTCACCTACATCCAGTGTGCTAATAAACATCTTACGGCACACCTTAGTTGGTTCACCATTAAATGGAAGGAAAAAAGTTTTCGTGTATGTTCGTCGAGACTTACCGTCTGGTTTTGTATTCGACTTTTTTAGTTTTTGTTCTACGAATCGAACAAGAAATTCTCGTTGTAACTGCAAATCAGCCAAATTATAAAAATCCGAAAATATAGCTTGCCTTATTTCTTCGGTAAACTTTCTGCATTCCCGTCCGCCTTTTTTACACCATTCTGCATTACAAGCCGGTCCTATTTTACGCATTGGTATTCTCTTCTGTGTTTTCACGGAAACATACTCTTTTCCACTATTTCTTAAAGCTTTTGCAAGTTTTCGTTTATTTGTCCTTGGCTGCTTCACATGTTGATACTCTCTTGGTGACCATTCTACAGGAAAGTCTTCTGGGATTTCCATTATTTTCTTAGCAGGCTTTTTGTCGATCTGAATGGGCCGTTACTGAATGACATCTTCATCACTCCCTGATTCCAGAGGATGATGACTAGCGCAGTTTGATGATTCTTCTCGGAAATGATCCCAACATAACAGTATTAGGCATCGGTGACAAGAACTCCATACTTCTTGCTTGCATCGAGGAACTTCACAACTTTGTACGTATGTTGGATCTTCTCTGTCGCTTAGGTCAATATCGCTGAACGGTTCACGTAGATCATTATCTGACTCATTCGTATCTTCTATCAGTTCTATCTCATGTTTAGTTGATTTTTTATTATCATGGACATCCATTTTTAAGATACCATAAGTCTGAAAAGTATTCATTACTGTAAGAAAAACTTACAAAAATAATAGTAAAATTAGCACCTACCAACTTTTTAATGCAACTTACAATGCAATGCTTGCGGTATTTTGATTTCGACTGTCGATTGTGAATTTTGACCTCTTGAAGCACATACTGAAAGGATTGTTTATAGGCTGGCCGATAAAATAAATAAACACGACGACGGCGACGTCCCTGGATATACTTTCAACCAAAAAAACACCTATACCTATACCATTGGCATGTTCGAGATTCTATCGAAAATTGTCACGACAAAAAGCCCTATCTCAAGATTCGCCTTTATGTTATAATAAAACTGTTCATATGTCAAGATAGGGCCATGTGTTTTGTCAATTTTTTAAACAAATAAATTGATTTCAAGATAAGACCCTTGGCTAGAAACAAATACACTAAAAATGCAATATTTCTATGAACTTAACGCATTTTGGCCCTATCTCGAGATAGGGCCCTATGTCATGAGACCGACGAATTTGGTGACCCATAGAAAGTTTTCTGGGGAAAAATTGTTTTTTCGAAAAAATACATACAAAGGCAATATTCTTGACATAAATTAGGAGAATTCACAGAAGATCTCTGGAAAAAAGTCGCGGAGCCGCAAGATATTCCTGGAAAATCAGATTTTGGGTCATCGCTGAACCGCTGTCGGTAAGGCGAGGGTTATAATGTACTAAAGGCGTATTTTAGCGAGAATTTTAACCCAGTAGTATGTTGTATTTACTTGGGATACTACATTTTAGCGATCATGGCTAACATACTATGACGTCACAACATAAAACACAACATAAAACTCGGCTGTAAACATGTAACCATCCTACGAGGGATAGTTACTGGATGTAGTATGTCAGTGCATCTTTTTCTAATACACGAAAATGAGCATATGGGCAAAATATCAGCTGATTACGCTACGATTACCGACACAGTTCTTTCCATTATAAATAGAGGATTGTTTTTCCCAATGACCTATTAACACAGATAGACAGAACATCACATTGATAAAATAGCTTTGTTTTGGTTGACTACATGTTTATGGGCCAGGGGGGGGGTGAGCTGTGAGAGCGGCTAGGAGTAGGGATTCAAATGATTCCGCTAACTCCGCCCCCATTTTACTATTGCATACTTGGCATTTGTCAACTCTGAAAATGAAACCAGAATCAGTGCTACAAAAGTGTATCTTTATCCTTATATTTTACATAATGTTAGAAAAAGATGCGGATACACTCACTGCGCACTGATTGACAAATGGAAATTGTCATAAAATACCTGCGGGTCGCATTTTGACATGACGATTGAATAGAAGCCGCTGATTGGTGGAAAGATGGAATTCGAGGTGGGATTTATTTTTTTGCAGCGTTGCTAATTTTCATTGAAAAATAATCGCTTTCCACGTGTTAGAGAAAGATACAAAATAGCACAAGGATTAATAAGTAGTGGGCAGAGATGCGGTTCCTGGCATGTAGTCAAACGATATTATTGTTTATGGTTCTGTCTATCTGTGTTAATAGGTCATTGGTTTTTCCTCATTTTTCCATGGTTTTCTGTGATTTTATTTTAGAAGTTTTTTGCAAAAAAAAAAAAAATTCACTTGTGCACAAAAGTGTAATTTTATTTTTTTTGGCATAGGGTACCCATAAAATTTAAAAATACCACAATCTATCGAAAATATTCGAGAATCTTCACTGGGGAAATAATATTGAAACTCGAAAACGCAAAATTTTGCAAAATTCAACAAATCCAAATAAACAATGATCATGGCGTCCTCTCTTAGACCCTTTGTCAAATACACTCCACCTGTTATTTGGGTAACTATGACGTCATGAATCGTAGTATGTGTAGTATGATGTTTACCTGTCGCTAAAATACGCCTTAATAAATCTAATAAAATTTACTGGCTATTCTCATAGTATTTAATATCCGAGCGTATAGAAATAATAATATGCAATAATAAATCATATTATTTTTTCTTTTATAAGATACTAATAAGTTTAATAAAACTTACCGGAAAGGGATAGTAAAAATTTCAACTTTTTTTTAAAAAATATTATTAGAGAACAATTTGAATATAAAAACAATATAAATTCTTCCACTTATGCCCGGTTCATCCATCTTCAGATAAACTTGCTGGTAACAATCTGCAAGATAAATTTCAAATCCATCCAAATGTTCATATTTATCTTTTTACAAGCATGTTTTTGAGGGCTTTTAGACCTAATAGTCCGAGAGCCAGCGCCAAAAAAGTGCAAGAGTTTCATGAAAGCTGAAAATGTAATATAGGCTTGTATTTGTGATGTATATAACTATACTCGAGTCAGCAAGTGAGGTAGCGGGACAAGCTACGCCCACGCACCTTTGAATGTGTAAAAAATTAATCGCGATGAAAGAGTTTCATGACAGCCGAAAATTTCTCAATCCATTGTTTATTTGATAAAAAACATGACGGACATGGTCAGATAGCATTATGTTAGGACAACTAGAGTCAGCATGCCTATACAGGGTGGTCCATTCAACTTGAGACAGTCTAATATCTCGAAAACGGTGCGTTTTTGAAAAAAAAAGTTCAAATAAAAGTTACATGGTATCATGTGGGAAACAAAATGGCGGTACTGATTTTTGACTTTGACAACGTTTTCAAGGTTATTTCAAGGTCAACTCTTTTTTTTTCAATAGAATTATATTTTTTATTACAGAATCTTATTCTACAGAAAAAAACAAGTAACTTTTACTTGAAGCATTTTTCGATCCGGTTTCAATTTAAGCTGATAAAAAAGAACGAATAAAGGCCGAAACCCACTAGCAACACGCCACGCCACCCCACGCCATGTGACACAGGTTCACGTGGGACAGTTTGTGTGCAAATGGACGGATGGCGTGGGGTGCCATGGCGTGGTATTGCGTATGGCAAGTGTGTACGCAGCACATATAAATAAATGGAAGAATATACGCATACATTTTCGTCACATGGCGTGGCGTGGCGAAGCATGACGTGGCGTGTTGCTAGTGGGTTTCGGCCTTAATTTTTTTTTTCCTCCTCACAAAATCGAAAAGTAGAGAAAGGTTACCAAAAATACCTCAAAAAATATAACAATTGATCAAATTGACGACCGCCAACTTCAACAAACTTGTTAATTCGCTGTAAAAAGCTTTCATGGCACCAAATTACAGTTTCTTTACTGACAGCTCTAAGCATTTCTTATGTGTTCCATCATATTATCCAGTGTTGTGGGAACCTCTTGATAAACTGTGTGTTTGATTTTTAAAGTGAATTGACAAGTGTGTTGAAATTGGCGATCGTCATTTTGATCAATTGTTATAGTTTTTGAGGTATTTTTGGTAACCTTTCTCTACTGTTCGATTTTGTGAGAAAACAAAAAAAATTAATCGTTCTTTTTTATCAGCTTAAATTGAAACCGGATCGAAAAATGTTTCAAGTAAAAGTTACTTGTTTTTTTCTGTAAAATAAAATTCTGTAATAAAAAAATATATTTCCATTAAAAAAAAGAGTTGACCTTGAAATAACCTTGAAAACGTTGTCAAAGTCAAAAAATCAGTACCGCCATTTTATTTCCCACATGATACTTTTATTTGAACTTTTTTTCCAAAAACGCACCGTTTTCGAGATATTAGACTGTCTTAAGTTAAATGGACCACCCTGTATAGGCATGCTGACTCTAGTTGTCCTAACATAATGCTACCATGCTACCATGTGCGTCATGTTTTTTATCAAATAAACAATGGATTGAGAGATTTTCAGCTGTCATGAAACTCTTTTATCGCGATTATTTTTTTACACATTCAAAGGTGCGTGGGCGTAGCTTGTCCCGCTACCTCACTTGCTGACTCGAGTATAGTTATATACATCACAAATACAAGCTTATATTACATTTTCAGCTTTCATGAAACTCTTGCACTTTTTTGGCGCTGGCTCTCCGACTATAAAAACGAACAAAATCTGAAAAGATCAAGACCATGGAAATTATTGTTGAGAAGATTTAAATGAAATTGATTTGAAAAACTTAAGTAAAGCTTGGAATATATGTATGTATACCGGGTGGGGTACGAAAAACTTTCCACCCAGGTTTTCTCAGGTGTTAGGTGTTTATTCAAAAATCGCTCAGACACGTCAATTTTTGTTTTTTGGGGGACACATTTTATTGGTATTTTCACCTTCTACCTGTGAACCCCTAAGTGGGGGTAACAGGTACTCCCAAAATTTCAAATGGAAAAAGGGGTCGAGTGATATGTCATTTGGTAGCTATTTTCCTTGAGATTATATCCCCGTAGCTTTAAGTTGCTACTTTTAACCCTGCCGAAATGGCGGCATGTCAAAGTTAGGATAAATGATTTTTTTCGATAATCTAAGCTGTACAGTTTTTACCTGTCACACCTATGCGTAGGTAACAGGTAAAAACCACACAGCATTTTTTCATTGATTTTTTCTAACTTTGACAAGCCGCCATTTCGACAGGGTAAATAGTAGCAACTTGAAACTTCGGGGATATAATCTTAATGAAAATAGCTATCAAATGACGTATCACTTTTTATTTGAAATTTTGTGGGTACCTGTCACCCCACTTAGGGGTTCACAGATAGGGGGTGAAAATACCAATAAAATGTGTCCCCAAAAAAACAAAACTTGACGTGTCTGAGCGATTTTTGATTAAACACCTAACACCTGAGAAAATCTGGGTGGAAAGTTTTTCGTGCCCTACCCGGTATTTGGAAATGGGTTATTTACTTTCAGTAAATATTCCATACTCAACTACTCAAAATCTTTCTCATGCACTCTGAACCATTCTAGATCTCGTTCTATTAGGTAGTATAATATCAGATACGTATACAGGGTGTCCCAAAAAGATACCGACAAACTTTAAGGGGTAGTAAGGGACATCAAAACAAGCATTTTTGTTTATATAAACATATGTCCGGAAATGAGCCATTTGGGCTGTAGAGC